TGATCCTGGTTGTAGCGGTAGAGATGAATTGAACTCTGAAAAAGGGTCTACTACGTCTGGAAGAGATTCAAGTTGGTTGTTGACTGATTTGCTTGATCCCGGTCATTTCTTTAGATGGGTGACACATCGTCGTAATGTTACTCCTTCATCATTCCTGACGACTGTGTCATTACCTGAACGACTTATAACTTTGAACGTATCCGTATCGTATAATTTCGGTTCAAGCTTACCGTGTTCATAGTTTTTTAAGAACAACTGCATTTCCTTCACTTATTTCTGAGGGCTTTGCGTGTCGCCGTAGGTCTGCATACTTCTTTCCTTTTAGCTTCTCGATCGCATCTCTTCTTCCCGATGCCATTGAGGATCAGTTCGCAATGACGGCAAAAGAACTTTCACTGGTCGCCCAGTTAATAACTCCATGGGCGCTTTTCTGGTCACCGTGTGGAGTGTCGTATTATACGTATAAACATATTCGTTAATTGCCTTTCTCCAGTCAGACTTGGTTGCTTTTGCTATTCTTAGTGTTCGCAGTATTCCTATTCCCTGATTCTGACGCTCAACCAGCCCATTCATCTGGGCCAGTATGGAATAGTTCTTATCAACCGGACATTCTTACTAGAACAAAATTTCGCAAAATCTTCGCTGGAGAATGGAAGCCCATTGTCACTGCAAATAGTTTCCGGATACGTATGTTCTGCAAAAATGTCCTCTAAAGCATCAATGGTTTTACCTGCTGTTGTAGATTTCATTTCTATAACTCTCAGGAACCTGCTATAATAATCTACTATATCCAAGAAGGCTGCACCAACAATCAATACGAAACTAACGATTTTAAATTGGCTCTCTACTTGATTAGCCTATTGGTCCCAAGCAAATCGATTAACGTACCCCATTCTAGTCGAAATTCTAGTACAACACCAGAGATGGAAAAGTTCTCGAAAACTCACTATGACTCGCGAACTTTTCCCTTGGTGAACTTCGTGAAATATCGCGAACTTTTCCAACACTGTACAACACTATGTTTGTTTTGATTTGCTAAGAAAGTTTGACAGATAAAATTAGGGGTTCGTGGATTTTACTATGTTTCGAGGGGTGCATCGATTAGTTTGGGACCGAAAATAGTACCAGAGCTGAGCCAAAGAGTTGAGCTCGTTTCTTCGGGACCTTCTGGTCTTAGAGTTACTCCATGGTTGCACACTAGGGTGCTTCATTCTGAAAAAAGTGATGAATTTCTCATGGGCCACCCTCCAGTTCGATTCATAGCCCCAAAATATGAACCTGTGCAAAAATTGGTAAAGATTGATGAAGGTTTAGAGGTCGCGCCAATGATTTGAAATTTGTATGGGAATTACTATGGAAGAATTTAAAAAATCGCTTATATCGCTATAACTTTGCTTCTACTTGTCCAAATGTCGAAAAAATTTAGTATGTTATTGCTATGGCAATAAACAAAAAGCCTACAGTTGCTACGCTCAGTTTTGCAGCGTATCAAGAATTATAAAAATGTGAAAAAATGGCAAAATAGGGTAAATTGACAGATGAATATGTACAAGGCAACAACGCCAATTTCATCGCAACAACAACAGGCTTGTTGATCATTGTCATGACAACCACATATTTTTTTTTTTCAACGTTTGGACAACTACAACCAAAGTTAGAGCAATGTAAACGAAAATCAATAATTTCCCATACTAATTCACCAAAATCTCCATACAAAATCCAAATCATTGGCGCGACCTCTAAACCTTCATCAATCTTTACCATTTTTTGCACAGGTTCATATTTTGGGGCTATGAATCGAACTGGAGGGTGGCCTATCAAAAATTCATCACTTTTTTCAAAATGAAACACCCTATTGCACACTCCTTCGTCGTGAAAAAATCTATCACGATCTCTTGCCACGCACGCTCACAACCGGCACATTCCTGAATTCTCTCGTCATCGTCGTCATCCACGCCGGGTCACCAAACTTTCTCTCGAAGTGCTCTCCGCATAGTGACAACACCAGGATGACCCCGATGTACAATAGCTAATGCCTTTGGCCTCAATTTAGTCAAAACGATCCTTTTATCTCGTACTAGAATACCACTAACTGGTGACACCTAACTCTTTCGCAAAGGCTTGATATCGGATGAGGTGTTGTGTCCAATCCCCAGATTCCAGTGCCTTGATAACGGCAGTCAATGTTTCATCTCCCACTATTTCATCTCTGATGTCATCCAGGGTTATAGCAGATGCTCCCTCACGAATCGAGTGCTCCGCATTGTCATCAAATGGTGGTTCAGAACTTGAGTTCAGCCGTGATAATATTTCCGAAATATTGGAAGCTCTAGCTATATGCTTTATATCGAAATCATACGGCTGAAGCCGTAGCGCCCATCCTTCTGCCCTGGTAGTTGCTCGACGTCCTTCTTGATGCTGACCTCGAAAGATGTATTCCAACGTCTTATGATCGGTGAAAATTGTGAAGTGAAGCCCAAATAAGTATAGGCAAATCTCGAGGCAAATAGAACCTTTCAACTGCCCAAACTACAGAAAGAGCTTCACACTGGGTTTGAGGGTAGACACGTTCTGTCGGAGTTAATCCTTTCGATGCAAAACAGATGATTCTTATTCTTGGAACATTGAATTCTTTGGTGCAAGCAATGGAAATATTTACCTTATTTGACAAAACCCAGGTAATCATGACGTTTGATTATTGAAAAAAAAATGAATGAAGGAAAGACCTACTGCTGTCATGATTACCGGAGATTTGTCAAATAATGTAAATATTTACACCGATTGCATCGAAGAATTGGTTTCGTTGTACAAGAACAGCTCTTAAGCCCACCGGAGAAGCATTAATGTAGAGCTCCGTGACATCCTTTGGGTCAAAATATCAAACTACTTTTCTACATCTCTACACATTAGACCTTTTATCTCTTTTAATTCCAATTTGCCATACGTTCATTAGACGTTTTGCCCACTCGACCATCTTTTCCGTGCGACCTTATTTTCCATTCGAACTTTTCTTCCATTAGACCATTTGTCCATTTTGACCTTTTGTCCAATCCGAGTCCAGCCGATCTTTTGTCCATTTTGACATTGTGTCCCTTTGACCATTTCTCCATTCAACCTTTTAAAGCGAAAGCATGTCGCGAATTAATCATAAAATCAAAAAGTAACTCATGGTAGAGCTGGAATTATGGCGTAACAGCTTTTGTAAACAATGACTTCTTTCGATGGTGTCTTGAAAGTCAAGGCTCGCCCTCGCAAACCAACATCACCATTAGGTAGGGTAAGACTTCTCCTACTCGACGGTAATATTGGTTTGCGTGAGCGTGCCTTGAATTCCTAGAAACCATTGAGAGAAGTCATTGTTTATAAAAGCTGTTACGCCCTAATTCTAGCTCTATCTAGAACTGTGTTATTTTAGCATCTATATTTTATTTGAATTACGAACTTTTCAATGTAATTTAATATAAAATATTGGATCAAAACCTGGATCAAAATATAAGTTTTAGTAGTCCAACTTGGTGACAACATCATCAAGGATACTATTCTCGAACTGAATCAGTATAATCATCAGGGACAAAAGACCCTTGATTATCTGAAAATAGAAATATGGTCAAATGCAACATCTTGTTTTGAGTCGTTGAAGTTTTGCCGCCAACCTTTCCTATCGTTTGAGCATCTAGTTTCAAGGCATCAAGTATCACGTGGACATATTCCATATGCCCCAGTTGCTTCAAATAACGATTTACCTGTAATCGGAAGAAAAGTTAAATATCACCGTGGACCTAGATGTTGTTTTTTAACATTACCATTGAACTGGTTACAAGGTTGCATGGTTCAGGAACAGTAGCCAAAATCGTTGCAGTTGCATGATTCTGTAGAGGGAAAAATTTAGTTTTAAGTAAATAATATTTAAACAGTCTAAGTGAATGTCACACCTCCAATTGAATGATGGCATTTGGAAACACGATCAGCAGCAGCCTGATGAATTCAATACCCAGTGCAATAAAAGTATTGAACTTCATGGCCATTGAATAGCCATCCACGCTCCAAACCATATAACACTGCAAGGACATTATATTCAGCCTACAAAATACCACAATAAGCATCAGCATGATGATGAATCCACACGCCCGGTGCAGTCGTTCGACCATGGACATTATTCTGAGGTGTAGAATTCTTAGTTTGATAATATTTTCAGTTTGACGATCAATTGTACATCTCAATGAGTCGTTCAACTGCCCAATGAGTTCTCGGATAACAATCAATAGATATGAATATTGCAAAGCACTCATACCGGAAACAATATTTTTGAAAAATACGGAGATCAATTTAGGCGTTACCAGATAGGATCCCCAGTGAATACCCACAAGACTGACTGAAATCGAAACGGACAACAGCAGCAGACACCCGATTGCATTGAGGCGTCCTCCTATGCGATTCAGCCGCTCAGATAATACTACGCGATCGAATTCACTCGCGATTTCTATAAGTTCCCTCAGAAAATCATCATACTTTTCTCTGAAGCAGTTACTGCCGATGCAGATGGAACCGACTAGAAGCGCTTCCGATAGGTACATGACGCAGTAGAAAATCTTCGTAAACGCTGGAACCTTCCAAAGGCTGAACGACTCCGGAGTGAAAAAGAGCAGCACGAATGGCATTGAGCAGACAACCGAAGCTATAGCCAGACTCCAGATGAGTTGAGCCATGCGAAGGCATTTTGAGTTGCTTTTTTGAATACTGCCCAAGGGATACGGAGCGGCACCCAGCAGTTGACTGGCGATGATGACAAATCGAAAACATTTCCGAAATGCTGACTGCGGAGAAAGTTTCGAGACTTTGTTGAACATTTTCCAAGACGGAACTGAGAGCGATCAAATGAATTGCGCAGCATTTGTTATAAATTTACAGTAGATAGTATCGCAGTCCTTCGGGATCAACATTTTCAACGGTAAACATTGACGATTCAAACAAACCCTTACATTTTTGAATAAATTATTTATGTACAAAGTTTGCTATGTCAATTGGAATACGTATACTACTTTTTTCCATCTCCACACTTCTTACTCCTCGGAGCTGGTATGTCGGCATTTGGGTCGAACATGACGTTGTCCAATTTTTTCGTGTCACCGGTGATTTTGGCTTCTATAAAACAGGAAGAAAAAAACATTCAAAAAGACTAGTTTAGAAGTTAAAACATCAAATACTAACGATAAACGTTCTCGTGCACTTTGACCGCCTGTACGACCGAACCCCGAAGCTCTACATCGACATCGCGCGCAATTTTGATTTTCTAGAAAATTTAAACATTCGGAAAACAATATAAAAACCGATTTATCAATTAGAAACTACCTCCTTGATATCCTTCTCCTCGGTGAGGTTCTTGTTCTTCAAAAACTCCTCCCGAATCCGCTGCCGGGCAGCAACTATTGCTCGGTGATCACCGGCAAACACATGATCTTTGGTGCGCTGTAGAGTTTTGTACCATTTCAAAGCCTGTACCGAGAGGAAATTTCAATTAAAATTCACTCAAAAACATATGCTTGCCCTACCTCTCGACGAAGGCCACTCATCGTTGCTGGTTTCAGTCGAAAAAAGTTGTAATTTGACTCGAATTTGAGAGAATTTTAGTATTAATCACCATACAAAATTTGAAATAAATTTTGTTTTTGTTTTGATGTTGTGTAACAAATTCTTTTGTCAAAGTGCTCAGGGCGGGCAAATTAGCATTCGATGTGATTTGATTGAATCGTTTCATATAGTCGGAAAATACATATTTTGTAGTTAGTTTCAAACCTTTATTTTACCAAATTGAATGTAGTTAAATCAAGATTCATCTAAAAATTACAATACATACTGTAAATATTATTATGAAAAGATAAAGAGATGAGAATTTTCAAATTATTCAAAGTTTCGTGCCATAGGCGGGATACATCGGGCGAGCTTCCACACGCACACGCACACAACAAAACACGCGTTTGACATTCACTTTCTGGCACTGAACTCATCTGTCAGGCTCGACACGACATTTGCCGTCTTCTCGCAAAGTGTGGAAATTTTAGGAGGAAAAGTTTCGCTCGATATTCCGTATCTATTCCCTTAAATTAATACGCTTAAAATGGCAGATCTCGGTGCTCCAGTTCGTGTCTCCCCGCTGATCAAGGTAAGTTTTGCCAAAGCGCTGTATTTTCGCTTTTTGGATACCAGTTTGCTTCCCATCATTATGTAATGTTCTGCTTGCACCTCCGAATGGTGACCGGAAAAGTTGTCCAGAAGGATGCTCGAACGGTGATTGCAGGTCTTACCGGGAGGGCTGCAATCGAATTCCATTGATGCAACCATCAATTTCCCTTTACAGTCCTCGTTGTGACATTTTGTTTACATTCCCGATTCTGTTTCTTCCGATTGTAATTTCAGTTCGGTCGCTGGTCATTCCTGGCCGTCGGAATCGCGTACGGTGCCTACCACCAGCAGCGTCTGGCCACGCGTGAAGTCGGCATCCGTGAGATCGAAGCTAAGCAGAAGGCCATTCGCGATGTCAAGTTGGCCGAGGAGAAGAAACGCCAGCAGGCAGGTCGGTATCTTCCAGACGCATCTGGGTTTCAGTCTGTGCAATCGAGTTGTCTAATCTTGTGATTTGTTTTTCAATCATTCCAGAGGAAATCAAGGCCATCGCTGACCTTTCGGGACCGAAGAAGTAGACAGCAACTTGAATTTATTGTTAGTCCCTTATTTTTAACTCGGATTAATGCAACAACTTCAAATGTAATTTTATTTTCAAGCCGTCGATCGAAGGCAAAACCAACAAAAACATACTGTGAAAATAAAGGATAGTAATAAATTCTGAGCGGAATCTAGTTCTAATTGTTGTCGTTTGGCAGTTAGAAGAGAAAACGAGCGAAGTTTATCGATGTAATGCGAGTTCCCTAATTTTGAATTGTAAATGAAGCCGAAAAACTTGGACAACCACTTTCAGTGACTCAACGAAAATGGTGGAAAAGGCTAAGGGTTTTCATCTACTTAACTTCCGTTCTACTAAGCGTTATTCGTGCATTAACTGTCTTATGAAAAAGTGGAGTGTTTCTAATGTCTTCTAATTCGGTCTCTTTTCTTTTGATTTGATAAAGATTTTGTATTTAATTTTATTGTAAAAAAAATAACGCATTCTTTGCTACTAATTTATCTTTTTGAAAAAAAAATGTACTATGATCTAAGTATTCTTAGTACTTAAGCATGAGAACTAAAATATCGGAACAAACTTAACATTCATTTGTTCACGCTAAATTATAAATATGTTCGATTCACTCCAACCTCTTTTAACGATTTTTTTTTTTTTGCTATCATGCAGGTTGTGATTTTTTGAAAACTTTAAGTTTGGTTCAAAATTGAGGTTACACGATCAAAAGCAGAATCGAACAAAATTTCGTAAAAAGAGGTTGGAGTATATTTTGACTCACAAATGACGAAAATTAGCTTAGCAGATGAAGAAGTTCTCTAAATGAATCAATTTCAGATAGTTAAGAAAGCTCATCATGTGTAACTGATAATCAGCATCCTCTTCTAAAACTCATAATACATTGAATACATTACTCAGAAGTCATTTAGCTGTAGAGAAACATTTTAGATTTTATTCGATAGTAAATAAACTGCTACTCCAGGTTCGTCACTTTCATGCTCATTCAATTCACGCATGCAGTCGCTGCTACCACACCTTTAGTAGTCTGAATGGTGAATGGTCCCACTCATAAATTGCTGTGTAAATACGTGAGGGACGAATGACTAGCTTACCTCCATACAAAATACACTCACACATGTGTTACATTACATTACATTAGCATCAAATCAATCCTGTTACTAATCGTATATTTAGCTGTTATAAAACTTCGATCTACATACTACGATCTACATACCTACGTAAAACAGCAATGAAAATATGAAACTCTCGGAAATATTTTGAAAACTGGCGAATCCACGGATATGCATGTCACTATTTTTAACTCATTTCTTTAAATGGTTCAAGATTCAGTCCAAAACAATCTTCACTCATTCATTTTACTTGTACCTTAAGGGATGCAAAGGACCAACGTGAAAGACTTCCATCCTGAGTGGGTACTTGCTTTTGCTTTGAGCTAGGTCCAAGTCAGATTCCTATCGACTTGCTTGAATTCCTTGTTGACACATTGCTGCCACCCCCTGTTACAATTTCTAACTGGGTGCCATTTTTTTTAATTCGCTTGAATTCTTCTTAAAATTACCAATTCACGTCAGGTTCAGGGGGCAGGACAACTTGGTGGAACATATCAAAATATGATTTGATATACCCTGGTGAATGTGGGCATCTATTTTTAGTGTACATCCTCTATAAGTGAAACTAACCTTGCGATTCATGACACCAAAGTAGTCGTATCAATTCAACATTTTTGGAAAATATTTGATGTAAAATACATATAATAGTGCCGACATTTCAAAGGGGCATAAATGCTTTTGATAACAAATTCGCAAATAAAAACTCACCCTTCCAAATTAATGCCGCGGATGACTTGGATGACAAACTATGAGCATGAGCATTATTTGTATAATAATTATGAATACTATACAACAAGTGCAATAACTGTACAAAAACTATACAATTATTTAATTATTGTGACCATGAATGTGCTCATAATTTATTATCCAGCATTTTACGAGCACTTATGGCCGCCACAATCTGGCTGAGTTTTTGGTAGGGAACATATGATTTGACGTTTGGGTTGTGTCGTTTGACGTGTAAACGTTCAAATTTGATCGTTTACACGTCAAAAGACACAACCCACAACGGCGCCGGTGGTGTAGTGGTAAGCGTGATTACCTCTCACCCCAGCAGGCCTGGGTTCAATTCCAGTCGGCGCCGCCGGGAACCGGTGAACACTCGTGTTTATTTCAGTTACCGTGGGGACGTAATTTGTGATTTGCCCCGGTCCCTTTCAAATTGTATCATTATTTATGTACGGTCCTTATATTGGAAATGACGTTTCACAATCATCTGGTGATGGCCGATTTTCATTCGAATAATCGATTAATCGATTAACGAACCGAAAAGTAAAATATTTGTAATCGGTTATATCCGAGGTTATATCATGCCGATATAAGCATTAATATCTCCAGAGGATCATCACCGATCGTTTCAAACATGTGTTGCACTCTCATTGGTGGAAAAATGGCAGCACAGCGAACAAAAAATAATCGATTAGTTGTTAATCGAGTAATTAAAAAATGGGACATCTCTGATTTTGGTGTGGTTGTTTTGATCAAAATGAGCGCAACATTTCATCTCTACCGAGGGGGCAGCAAAACCACAAAATTACCTTGAATGCGGGAGGTATTCATTGGATGAAAGGGACCGTGAAAAAGGACACTAAAATCGAAAGTTTTTCTTCCGACTGTTTCATCTTAGTATTCATCTTTGGTAAAGCCGTTGGTCCCCGGTTCATGAGTTGATGGGTCGATAGGTAGAGTCCAGGTGTGGGAGCTGCCTTCCTGGCACGTCGGTAGCATTGGTGCTCAGCATGGAAAACAAGATCGACGGAAAACAAACCAAAGGAAAAAAAAAAAGACACAACCCAAACTTCAAATCTTATGTTCCCTACCAGAAACTCAGTCAGATTGTGGCGGCCATACGCGATCGTAAAATACTGGATACAAATAATGCTCTTGTATATAGTTTGTCATACAAGTGTATCTGTGGCATAACAATGCTACAGTTGTATGCTGCATACCGAAGGGGAAGACAGTGAGAAACTCAGAGCAATCCAGAGTAACTCTGAGGAACTCTCTTGCTCTCTGATGAACTGTTGTATTATCTCGATTGTTTTGACAGCGCAGTCCAAGCAATCACATTTATCGGAGTTTGGAACTCGCAGGACTAACATTTTCAGCTTTGTAAGTCAACTTTTCCAGCGTTGTACTGTAAAGTAGCTGAAAAGAAGCTGCAGATACAGCTACAGGCAAAAGCTAGCAAAATAGTTTTGGAGGGCGTTTACTCAACTTTCTCACAACCATTATTCAATTTGTCAGTCGCACTGAATAACATCAGCCAATAAACGCTAATGTCACTTCTATACACACACTAATCAACTTTCAACTTGTAGCTGCAAAACAAAGCTTACAAAGTGAATATGTTACTCATTTGATGGCTTCTACACAACCAACCACTCTTGCTGAATAACATAAACATCAAAAGTGCTTTTTCAACAACTAAACAACCTGTACTCAGCTTATAAACTGTGTTATAGCAACTTCGGAAGCATTTTCACAGTCAACTAGGTTTATTTTTAGACGTGTGCAGTTTTACAGCTTTTACTCTGCATGCTCTTTTATAACTAGTCGAGAAAAGTGATTCATGTGCACTATTATAAAGCCTCTACTCAGTGATTTTGTTGTAGAAGGGAATGTTGATTTGTTTACATAAGTTCAAAGTGTTGGCGTAGCACAGTTGGTAGTGTCAAGGTTTGCCAATGAGGTCGTCTCGAGTTCGATTCCAGGTTCCTCCGGTGCAGGGTAAATAATTTCGTGATGATTTGTAACTAATTTCGATTAATTTGATTCACAGCAAAATAAACTAAATAAATTCCTTCATAAAAAAGCGTAAACAGTATTTAACCCGGCTTCAAGAGAAAGCTGTGTAGTGATTATTGGATAACCGGAAAAAGGTTGAATAAGCGCCTTTCAAGTACACACACAACTAAACAGCAGGATAACAGCTGTATAGAAGCGTTAATGGATATGCACAGTGGCGTCGCCCTAACCTCAATCTACCTGTTCAACAACTCTCAAAAAGTAAACAAACAAAACAATATTGGTTCAATTGGATACAAATCAGTCAAACTAGAAAACCCTGTGTCATTTGAACCTGATTGAAATGTAAATATGACCCTAAATAACGTTTTCAAAGTTGTTGAACAGGTAAAAAGTGAGGTTACGCGACGCCACTGGATATGCAATAAGAGCTTCTCCCGACCGTTCCAACAGCCATAAGTAGCTGAGTAAGTTCGCCAGATTTGCTTGTATAGAGGTTGAGTAAAGGTTTCTTCATATCGTATAACGTTTGAATACAGCTTGAGGCTGTATAAATGAAATGAGTAAAGCGTTTACGTTGTGAAAATTGTTAGTTGGGTAGAGCACCGACAAACCGACATGGATGACCATAGCAAAAGCAATAAAATTTCTAACCAAAGCACACTACAGACATTTGGCTCCGTGTTCGCGGGAAATATTTAGCTTGCCATGAATCCGCATGCAAAAGTTATGAATTGGTTCGTGTCTGATCTATTTGACAGTTCGGATTACTGCACATTTAAATCGACCGTTTACGATTTTCGGGCATAAGTCAGAATTAAGTGTCATGTCGGTTTGTCGGTGGTTAGAGCGCTTCCATTGCAGCAATGGGTTGCAAAACATGGTCAGCCCTCACACATTCATCACGAAACTGTTGCTTTCCAAAGTCGACTACGCATCGACTGAAAGAACTGCTGATGAAGAACAATGAGAAGGACCAGTAAACAGACGATCGCGTGACACACATTGAGAGTGGTCCGCTTCTATCAGCCGAGGGAACACTGAAGATAAAAGCGTTATCCTCTATCAATTGGCATCTCTTTACAAATTACGTCATAAAACTACGGACTTTGGTCATGAAAAATGTGAAAACAACATCAAGTCAGTTTGTCCCATTAAATAAGTCCCATCCTGAAATTTGAACGGCCATACACACTTAATCTAGCTCGGTAAAATCTCCAACAGGCGATTACCTCGGCATTTACTTTTGCTGATATCCCTGCAAAATATCTGTTTGTTAGCTGATATCTCAGCAAAATATTATTTGTTAGCTGAGTCTCGGCAATTTCTTTACTGAATCTCAGCAAAATAAATTGCTGAAATACTCGGCTGTTGGAATCTCGGCGAAAAGAATTAAGTGTGTAGGACAAGTTACACCCAACAAAAAATTCCCTATTGAAGAAACGACTTTTGAAGATTTTATTCAACTGCATGCTAAATAATGCGTGTACAATTTTAAATAATAACTTCTGTTCAGGCTTTGTTCACTCAAATCTGGAGAATTTATTCAACCACAACATGGTGTTGGTTGGTTGCGGTATGTCGAGAAGCTTTTATTTGACTTCCATGAGTTGCAACACAACTTATTCGATCAAATGTTTTATTATTCAGCGTTTATTGGACATCTTGGCTTCCTTAAACAATATTTAGCGTTTAAATTAGACACTAGTATACATTTATTAAACGATTATTCAACTACAGGAAAATTTACCCGAAACAGTCCTCACCCCAGATCTGGAACAGTTATTTTGAAATGCAACATTACTGAGCATCACCGACGCGATTCAGTGGGCTAACTCGCACCCTTCGGTTATTTGGGCTAACACAACGCAAAACGTCAAAAAACTAACCGTTACATTTTTTTGTACTCCCTCTTCTTCTTGCATTCGTCTTTCCTCTTGGTGTGCGTGCGTTGTTTTCCTCGCACTCCACCACCAGCGCAGTTACTGTTTTGCTCTCCTCTCGGTTCTGCTCCTGTTTAGTCAGTGAAAAGAAGCAAACGCAGTAAACGACAACGGATATTCGTCGATCTCGTCTCGTCCGCCGTGGAAGTTCACATCAGTGTTCAGTGTTTACTTCGCCTAGATTGAAATCGATTCGTTGTGTGCAGCGGTGGCGACTCTGCCTTTGGATGCGACTCGTGTGAACTACTCCGTTTTCCCCAGGTGGAGGTTGTTCCGTCCGTCCGGACAGAAGTGTTTTCCCGAACAAGACCAAAGTGAAGATACAACGTTGATACATTTTGCTTGATGTTCCCCCCCTAGCAACAGTATCTACTGAAAACGTCGCAATTTTGGAATGATTATATTTTCGGTTCTGCTGGAGGAAGAAGATCTGGAAAAATCAAGACACGGAATCGTCGCGGGTGCAAAAGAATATAAAATCGATGAAAATTCTCCTTGATATAAGGAGCTGGTAATCATTAAATTGTGAGGAAAAGTGTCAAGGAAAAAATCGAAATTTTCATCGGCAGCAAATACAAAAAAAAAATGCAGAGTGAAAGTGCATAAAATAGAGAATAACGGCTTACATGTAACCAATTTTCTGTATGTGTAGTAATCGCCAATAAAGCGAGAAGAGAAAGGGCATTCTTCCTTATGAAATCGAGAAAGCAGCAACAGGGAAAATTAAACAAGCCCTAGTGATGTAAAAAATATTTTAAATCAGCGAAACAAAGCAAAAAACAGTGAACGGAAAAGAAAATAATCCACCAAACTTATCAACAGAGCAGTCAAAATTTTTCTCAATCCCAATCTCTCGGCTGCCGCCTCGCTGCTGCTTCCCGTGGCAGAAATGGACGAAGAGGAAGAGGTGGCCGATATCCGGGAGCAGATCTTCCACAACACCGTCCGGGAGCATATCGTAAGTGTTTTTTATTTAGTTTTATTGGTTTTTCCTCCCAATCAGTCCTGATATGCTCGATATACCTATATCGAATATGTGAGCAGTATAGTTTCTCTTCGCTTATCGCGTAATTGGGTTACGGGGTTACAGCTCCGTCGCCTATTCGCCACAATTCGATTGCGATGATTGACGTGGCTTGTGGGGAATTCGGGACACAATTAAACAATCAGTAAACTGTTTAATTGTGGTGCTTGTTATTTACATTATGCAATTCAAACGCAGGGTAAAATTATACAGAGACGAGCCCTCAACCTTCATTCCATCGAATTATCTCCTGCGCGTTGGTATATTTATTTTCATAACAAATTCAGCACCAGCTCTAAACTAGTATCAAGCTTTTATTTTATTGGGATAATTGCTCGTGTTTTGGTCAAGAATCACTCTAAAATTTCTCAAAACATTATCAGGAACTTATCAAATTTTCCCAAAAATCAGTATTACCTAGGTATATGTAAAAAATATATACCGGTTTCGTCGGTAGAAAAAATGACGCTTCTGGAATATTTTCATTAATCGGTACCTATATAATGCAGGAAGTTTTCTGCAGATTATGCACGGCTGTCTTTGAATTTCTCTGCTGGTATCATTTCCGGCGGTCACCAGTGAGGCCAAATACACGAACTCATCGACCACCTCGATTTCGTCACCGTCAATCTGAACTCGGGGTAGGAGGCTAATATTATTGTCTTCCCTAGAACCTCATCCTTTCATGTATTTTGTCTTCGATGCATTGATAGGAAGTCCAATCCGCCTGGTAATATCTCCTCCTCTCAAATCTTGGCAATTATCCAGTGCAGCGGTCTAGCCAGTGCTTCACCACCGTATTTGAATAGCTCACTTGGTAGTTGATCTACACCAGTTGCTTTGTTGTTCTTCAGCCGACCGATCTCCTCATCAACTTCTTGAAGATCAGAGGTCGGTAGCCTGTCCTCTTCTGCGCGTGCTCCAAGGTCTGTTGCCGTGCCACCCTCGTTGTCTGCTGCATCACCGTTGAGATGCTCGTCATAGTACAGCTTCCACCTCTCAATCACCTCACACTTGTTCATGAGAAGGTTACCGTCCAAGTCCATGCACAAATCGGCTTGCGGCATGTATAATTTCCGTGTGTCTTTTACGCGGTATAGATTTTCTATAGCCTCGCGATCTCGGCTTTCCTGCTGATGCTTCTTCCTTTGAAGAACCGAGTTTTGCGTGTTCCGCGCTTGTCTGTATCGCTCTACATTCAATCTCGTGCGGTGTTGCAGCATTCTCGCCCGTTCTGCATTCTTCTCCCCTACTAACAGTTTGCATTCGCCGCAGTACTACCTATGGCGGAACGGATGTCCCTCCAGCCATCTTCAAGTGAAGCTGCAGCAAGCTGCTCTTCCGTGGGTAGTGCAGCTTCCAGCTGCTGCGCGTAATCCTGGGCAACTCCGGCGTCCTGTAATTGCTCAATGTTGGGTCGCGGCGTTCGACTTCGACGGGTGTTTTGCACCGTCGAGAGTTTTGAGCACATGCATACTGCAACTAGGTTGTGGTCCGAATCTATGTTCGCACTGCAGTACGTGTGGACGTTGATAATGTCGGAGAAGAATTTCCCGTCGATTAGAACGCGATCGATTTGGTTTTCTGTGTGCTGGTGGCTTTGTGGATATCCTTGCGGGGAAAAAAGGTACTTCGGATACCCCGGGAGACCGTAAAGTTCACGCATCGTTGGCCGTTGTCGTTCGATACTGTTGTTGCATGCTGTTTAGCCTGATTGCCCATGTCGCCGATGATGGCAACCATTGCACTTCCTGACAAGCCTCAGCCAGGGCGATGAATTCAGACTCAGTGGACGAAAGCGCCACACATGACTGCTTTCTTGATGCCCAACTCACAACGCCATTACCGAGGAAGATTAGAAATCCAGACGTTGATTTTCTATCTCGGGTGTCCCCGGCCCAGTCAGCATCGCAATAGACCATCAATGCAGCGTTCGATGATCCAAGCTGCACCGCGAAATTTCGTGTGTGGACAAGGTACCGCAGCACCCTTTTGGCTTCAATCCAATCCTTGGTCCTCGGTTTACTAACGGACCGTCCCAGAATTGAAGCGCTGATGGAAATATCCGGCCGTGAGTTTACCGCGATATATAGCAAACCTCCTACCAGACTTTGATAAAGGTCGCCTTTTGGTAGCTCCGCCGAATTCTCCTCCTTTTGCTGATATCCGGGATCCATTGGAATTTTCGAGCCCTTGGCTTCCGAGAGACCAAACTGGCCGGCAAGTTTCAATATGTATGCCTGTTGATTTAAACGGTAACCGTTGGCGGATTTAGTTACCTGAATTCCAAGGAACACTTGAATGTCGCCCAAGACTGTCAATTTGAAGCATCGTTGCAAATCGTGAACTACTTCACGGAACTCTATTTCGCTGTGGCACACGACAAGAATATCGTCAACATAGATGAGGATGAACGATTTCTGTCCCTTCGTTGTCCGGACGTAGAGGCACGCATCTGCCACCGACTGACAAAATCCAGCTTTCTTAAAGACATCGTCAATCGTCCGATTCCATACTCTTGCCGCTTGTTTCAACCCATATAGACTGCGATTGAGCCGGCACACGCCCGTTCCATTCGGACCCTTGGTTTCGTATCCTGGCGGCTGCTTCATGTAGACCTCTTCTTTTAAAGCTCCATACAAGTACGCCGTCTTGATGTCCAGGTGCTTCACCAGAAGCTTACGTTCTGCTGCGATGGTCAATAACGTCCGAAACGTAACTTGACGAGCTACAGGTGCAAAAACTTCATCGAAGTCGGTCCCATACTTCTGTGAAAAGCCTTGCGCAACCAGCCTGGCTTTATACCGGACAACGTTTCTTGTGGTGTCTTCCTTCTGCTTATACACCCACTTGCATCCAACGGGCTTGCGGTTCTCGGGCAGATCAACAATCTCCCAAGTGTCATTCTCCATCAACGACCGGAATTCCTCATCCATCGCTGCCATCCAATACTCACGATTGATCCCATTGATTGCTTCATGGTAGTTTCGTGGCTCTCGTTCGCCACTAGATGCTGCTTGGACTGTCTCACTATATCGAGCTGGTCGGATACCTTTCGTGGTTCGGCTCGATCTCCTGACTTGACATGTTTCATCGTCGTCGTCCTCGATCAATGTGGCATCTCCATTATCTGATTCGTCATCGTATTCTGAATCGTCCGACGAGATACTTGAGCTCTCATCGTTCGAATTTTCTTCCTCGATCTCACCGACTGGATTGACATCAGTGTTGATTGGTTTGCTGAATTCGAATTCAATCACCTCTTCCACTGGTAGCGATTCCACTGCCCGGTCCAAGGAACGCTCGGACACTTCCGACGCGGTGTGCTCCTCCTCAACGAAATTGGCATCTCGGCTGACGATTACTTTCCTTGTAGATCGATCCAAAAAACGATACGCCTTATGGTCCAACGAATATCCAACAAACGTTAGCTTCTTTGCTGTCGGATTCATTTTCTTGCGCTTTTGTTTGGGGACGTGAACGAATGCAGCACATCCAAATGCTTTCAAATGCGCTACGTCCGGCATTGTTCCAGTCCAAAGCTCGAACGGTGTTTTGGGAATTGACTTCGATGGTAACCTGTTCTGTAAATAGACAGCAGTACTTACGGCTTCTGCCCAGTAGCACTCCGGAAGCTTTGCATCGAATAACATGCAGCGACTCATCTCGACCAGGTACCGGTTCTTCCTCTCGGCGACTCCATTTTGCTGGGGAGAGTAGCTGGCGGTAAACTGTGGCTTGATTCCTTCTTGCTTGTAGAATTTCATCAGCTCGTTTCCGGTGTACTCACCACCCTGGTCGGATCGGATGGCTTTCGGCTTTCGTCCGAACTGGGTTTTCACGTATGCCACATATTCCTTCAGCTTCTCTGGAACCTCCTCCTTCTTCCGCAGCAGATACAGCACACAGAATCGACTGTAGTCATCAATGACGGTCATGAAGTACCGATAACCAGACACTGATGCATTGTCGATCGGGCCACAAACGTCTGTGTGCACAATGTCCAGCATTGCACGAGATTTGCGTTCGACCGATTTAGGGAATGACTTTCTGCATAGCTTCGCTCGCTGACAACATTCGCATCCTTGCTTGACTCCGCAGTCGTACACCTTCAAGCCGGTCACCAGATTCTTCTTCAGCATCACGCTTAGAGCTTCAGGATCCCGATGTCCAAATCTTCGGTGCCAGACGTGCTGACAATCAACTTCGTGGTGGTCGTTCACAGCCATCGAAACTTCACAAGTCGTTTTCACCTTATAAAGGCCACTTGTTTTCTCGGCGACAATTGCCACGGTACCACCAACAAGAACACGACATCCTCCAGCGTCGAACATCACAGCAGCTCCCTTCTCTGTGAGCTTTGGCACTGACATCAGGTTCATTTCCAAGCTTGGAACAAACAACACGTTGCTTAGAGACACATCGGTTGTTTTTCCGTCTCCATGGTAACACGAAATTTTTCCGCTACCAGCACCTTCGACCTTCGCAACTTTTCCATCAGCCAGAGTAACGGTTTTCACTTGGCTCTTCTGGATTTCCTCGAAAAAATCGGAGTCACAGCACATGTGCGCGGACGCACCTGAATCCACAATCCATTCCGCATGGTCCGATTGCTCATGCACTCCCAAAGCAAACGAAACGGTTTCGTTTTCACTGCGCATGCTTTTCACCTTCGGGGATTTTTCCTTACCGTCAACCGATTCCTTCGCATACAGCCTGCATTCCGATTGCTTGTGTCCAGGTTTCTTGCAGAAATGGCACGTTAACGGCTTCTTCTTCTTCTTCTGGAATCCTGCTTTCATCGCTGAACTTGAAGAACCTTGACTTCGTCTCTTCGCCACTTCATCTAACAGCTTCCCTTTCACCAGCTCCAGTTTCAGCTCCTCATCGGACCGGCTTTCCAGGGCCGTGGTCAACGTATCGAACGAATCAGG